TTAACAGACATGATAAAGAATGATTATCAGACAAAAATTAAGATTTTATATAACTACTATAGGATCAAAGAAGCAATAACATTATGCAAACAAAAACTTTTCTTATGTTATTTTCTATTATCGTTGTACTTTTAATCGATGTCAATGATGGTGCACTAGCAGCTCCAAAGTTGGTAGCAGTTAAGGAAGAGTCATCTAAACCTACAATCATGTAAAAACTAATCAAAATATCTTAAAATAAAATTTGTGGTTATTTTAAGTTAACCCACTATTCATGATAGTTGTACAGCATGGAAAACAAATACCGATGCAAGAAGTAAAAAATTCTTCAATGAAGTAAGTTTATTTGAAATCATTCATTTTGAATCTTTTTTCTTTTCTGTTCTAGAATAAACCAATAATATCAAAAAAACTTCAAACTATTCATAAAATACCAACAACATTTGTTCCTAAACCATCGAAAGTAGCAACACAAGTTGTTAATGGTTTTCTCCATCATTATTTAGTTAAATAATCAACAAATAAATGTGCATATGTAACAATTCTTCAGCGTCCATGGAACAAAAACAATCAACTTACAAATGAAGAACATGTTAATGTACGACCGCAACTTTATGGATTAAATGATAAGAATATTAAATTACATTATTGCGAAGATCAGAAAATATAAACAATCTTAGTTTTAATATATTTTGGCAAGTAGAAAAATAGACCCAAAGGTTTTTCTTCTTTCATTTTTATTCTATGAAGACACTTTTCCCTGTAAAATGAAAGTACCAATTTGTTCATTTTGATGAACAAAAATAAATAATGTTCATATTTTTTCACATGAAGCATTGATCCAATTGAAACAATGAGGAAGTAATGAAATTATATGATGACTTAGACTTTATATATAAAGTATGACTTGAAAATGCCATATGCAATGATAGAGTAGATATTAGGTTTGTAAAAGATCTAATTAGAAGATCTTTTTTTAATAAAGAACTTACAATGCAAAATGACTAAATGGATAGTTGACGTGTTATCTGAAATTTACAAACACAGTCAAGTGTTAAACTATGTTTTTTCTTAATTTTTCTATTATCTTATTAAATAATACTTTCTAGTCATAACTCGAGTGTACACAAGTTAGTTACTTTAGAAATAAATGAATACTAAAGTGAATTAATCTGAAAAGTAGTAATTTGTTTTGTTTATTGAAGCGTTCACTTCTTCAATGTTAAAAGTCTATACGTCATTGAACATGAAAAACCAGAAATATAAACTATTTGATGAAAAAATTTTTAAATTAAAATGCTACATGTAATGAAGATCGACAGTTCACGAAACTCCTGTCAACATACTAAAAAACCTATATAATGTCTTTTCATAGATGTAAAGGCTCATAATACGACATAGAACGCTTCGATTAGATTTAAACTCTGTCACATCTGATCGAAGATGACTTTGAGATTAGCGACGAGCTCGAAATTGAAAGTATAAGATTATTCTTTATGAATTAATCTTCTTGAGATACAATTTGTGAGTCTTATTTGTTATCTAAAACATGGGTCTCGTGATTCGAAAAAAAAGGATACCATTGATTTCCAATACAAATTTACTCTGATATTCGTTTAATCATCTAAGACTTTCAAAGAATATGATGAGCAAAACTCCAGAATGTCTAGTAATGTGCTTCAAACCACAGGAAATAAAATTTATAAATATTGATTATGACAGATTTTGTTTTTCGTATTCGTTTTAATAAAAAGTCTTCTCTTTTCATATAGACAAAGATTGAATTTTAGTTGTGTTTTAATTCAAGAAATCTTTTTAAGTTTATAACTTCCTTTCCTAATGAGTTATTGACGCTTGCATAAGTATTTATTTTGAAGAGCATATTTTACTTCACTCTCACTCTATGAAAAACATTCTTTAACAATATAATTTACTCTAGAAAAACTGTCTATACAATACAGAATAAGACTTTCAAGCTATTCGTTATCTTTAATAAGAGAATAATAATGAAGTTTAATTTGTCCTTTTTTAAATAATAATTTAGTACAAGAATAAATTCGTACAGTTTCACTTATTTCTGTCGCTATCAGTCATTTCTACAACCAACTAAGTGAATTTTTATCGAACCATTTGAGCACTGTATAACTTCTAGAAATTCTCACTAAACAATTCTATTTTTGCTATCATTAATCATGTGAATACAACATCGTTTTTAAATCAATCATTTAGCGACAACAACAACAACAACTTCTAATAATAATGTAAATAAATACACATAAATATACCAATTTTCAAATAGAAAAAAACAAAAGAATAACATAGTATTCAGTAAGTCAAAAGAGAAAACCGTAAGAATTATGTGCTATACTTTTTATCGAAAGAAATGCTAGTGCACTAATGACTTCTAGAACGAGGTTAACCAAATTGAGAATATTTGGTATAGAGTCAAAGTTAATCAAAGTATAAAGATCAAAAAAAAATATTTTGTGTTTATTTTTATTTTAAAACGAAACTCCAATACTCATTCTCCATGATCAACAAAAACTGTTTCACGTAGTAAAATATTATTTAGTCAAATAAGTTTATTGCAATTTATTCATTTGAGAATTTTTCTGTTGTCTCCTAGTATAAAAATATAATATAAAAAAAAAACAAAAACAATTTCAACTCATTTATGAAGTATCAACTAAAATCATTCTTACACTAAATCAAGCTGCAGTAGAAATTTTGAATAATCTTCTTTATCTCTAACTTGTTTAAGTATCTATTTAAAAAAAAACGATCTATTACATTTGAAAATATTTGATTTCTCAAAGATGAAATCTAAATATCGACAAGAAGAAAAAATGTTGAATATTCATAATTAACTTCTGCAAAATTTGAACCATCTAATTTGAGGTGTAATCAATTAGAAATAGTTTCAAAGTTGTTCTTCTTTCATATTTATTGTATTAATATTTCTTTTTCTATATTAAATGATTGTATTAATCTTTTTATGATGATGAACAAAAAAATTTTCGCATTTGTTCGCATGAAGCATTGACACAACCTGGACAACGAAGAGGTAATTGAGTTGTATGACGACGTTGACTTTGTATATGTTCATGAACAATATCAGCCATTGCCTAAAGAAATTTTGAATGAAATAGAGAAAATAAATATTGATAATAATAATAAGAAGAAGAAAAATACTTTGATAAAAAGTGAACTATCATTTAACGATGCACAACGACGAATCATTTTAATTCCAACCTAAATATTAATAAATGAATGAAATTAATGAATGATATTAATTTCAACTTACACTTGTAGCAAGATGTTGAGCATATTCTATATCAAGTTCATGTAAAGTTTCAATATGATCACCTAGATGAAAACAGACAAATTTAATGTATTTCTATTTTAAATTTCGAATAAAAATTATATATTAGTTTTATAATTTTATTAATTCTTTATTTATAATATATATTATTTATACTTGTAAATGCAATTGGAACTAAAAGAATATGTCGACGATTATTGTTAGCTAATCCTTTGATAGCATCATCTGTTGCACAGCCAAGCCAAGCACTTGGTCCAACCTATAAATTGAAATATTATATATTATAAAATGATTGAGTATTTAATGTACTTTTGATTGCCAGACAAGTCGATATGGATTTGAAAAATTAAGAGATTCCATAACTGCTTGAACAGTTGCAGCAACTTCTGCTGGATAAGGATCGCCACGATTGACTACCTAAATATTTAATCGAAGACTTTATTCAAACTACAATTTATCATTTAAAAATATTTCCTCTTTGATTTCTTATATATGTTCAGCTGATTTCCTGAAAAAAATCCGAATAAAACTGGTGTTTTTACACTGTTTAGTCAATCCCTCTTTCAATTAACATATCTTAAAATATAGCCTTACATAACTACGAAACTTATTTAACAGTAATGACAAAGTAAAAGACAATGTCAATATCTGGAAGAATTAGAGTATCAAAATGATACAATTTACTTGTGCAGTTTTTTTCCAAAAATAAATTCTATCGTTTTGATAGTCTAATTTTGCTTGATACTGTCATAGTCGTTTACTTCGCCGCTGCTGTTAAATAAATTTTGTAGTTATTCTTAAGTCGCTTATACAATTATCAAGTCTTATATAGATAAGATTCATATCGTGATTTTATAAGATGCAAAAGATACTTTGTTGAATTGCATTGTTCAGAGAAGAAAACGATCTTGATCACCATTTGAGAGAGTGTATAACATCTTTTGGCGATGCTTTTCGATTTGGTAAATATGAATTACTTTATTCATTGTAATAGATTCTGATTATATGGTCTTTCTAGGAAGGGCAACGAAATCGAAAGAATGATTAACTTCAACTCGTCGTCAAATCAATAATTTCGTCTACGATTGTTGTGATAGCTTTCTTATGTTATCAACTGAAGAACGTTTGCGTGTTTTTCATTTGGTTGCAAATTGTTTTGAACGTGCTACTCTTAAAAAACTCGACTCAATAGCTACAGTTTATTATTCATTTGGTCCATTGACTTTTGAAAAAGCTATGAGTCATTTTAAACAAGAGCCAAGACTTATTTATGACTGTCGACATCATCTCGATTGCGCTTTATATTGAGCTTGTGAACCCAATACATTTCGATCGGCGGAAATCGAAAAACTTCGATATAGCATTTGGCTGTATCAATGTATACATGAAAGTTCTAATTCTCTACCTACAGGTGTTCATCCGCTGGAAGAGTATTTACAAAATAATAGACAACTGAATACAGATATTATATGGATTATTGTTGACAAGTTACAGGAAGCAATTTTACCGGCTAAAGGACAATGATATTGAAAGTAATTTAATTAGAATTATACGATCTTTTAATTATATTTCAATAATACATTTCCAGAAACAGACTTTACATTTCTTCTATTTCAGGTGAAACACGAGCATGTCATCATACAGCTATAGTATATCAAAAAGTATTAAAAATGACTGAGATAGCCTCCATTTATCATCTTCATTGTATAACACTAGTTCAAACTTTAGTACCACATAATTTAGCTAGTCTCGAATGGTATATGATAAGTAGTTCATTCGTTGAACAATATCGTGCGATGAAAGTAGATGAAGAAGAAACAATCAATGAAGAACGTAATAAGAAACTTCCCATTGAACTAGCATTGAATCTGAAGGACCTCGATGAGAAAGAGGAAAAAGGTACATGGGAATTTCTTGAACATATCTATAAGAAATATCCACCACGTAAAAAAGATGTAATAATGGATTTAACTGAAAGTGAACAATTGAATAAAACTATCAAAAAAGCTATATTACATTATCAACCAGATTCACAATCAAATTTCAATGACAAAAAAATGGACATTTCTCTGTACTGAAATAACAAAGAGACTTAATGTCAAGTATGAATTACTTGATAATTAAAGACACATAACTTTAACTTACACTCATTGGTAATGAATGAGCAGAAAATAAAATAACAACATCATTACGAACATCATCTGGAAATTTGTTCAGTTCATTACGAATATTTTTAACAAATGCCTATAAAATTATTTTTTTTTTGGTTTTTTGTTTAATCTGAGAATGATTTTCTTTTACTTCAATAAAACCAGAATGTGTTTGCCAACGATCAATAACACTCCATTGAAGGTCATTAGATGTTTGAATATTTAAAGAGTTATTAGTATTAGAAACTTTATTATCTTTTTCTAATTTTGACTTTCTCTTTTTTGCTATATAATATCGAGCTATTGCATTTAAACTACTACCCGTTGTTGAACAACTATATTGTGGATATTGTGTAAAAGCAATAATTTGTTGAGGACAATCTCTACAAAAGTTTTATTTAAAATTTTCATCCTAAACAATAAAAAAAAGCAATTACTTTTCAATTTCATCCAGTGCCATTTCAGTTAATGGTTTAACATAACGAAAACCAATGTAATATTTATGAGGAGCTTAAGAAAAAATAAATATGTTTTAGGAAAATATTTTTTTTTCTCAAGTCAATACCTGTCGATGGAGATATCTGATCTAATATTTTAATCATTCCTTGACCTTGTTTTTCTGTCCACATTTTAATTGGGGATCCACCACCAATTTTTGCGTATTGTTCTTGTATACTTGGAGTACGACGACGAGCAATAAGAGGGCCTAATGTTCTAGCAAAATTTGTTTTTTTTAAACAAACGTATATACATAACGCGAAAAAAGACATACTTTTGAGCTGGTAAAGGCATAATATCTTTATCAGAAAAGAGACGATTAAGAAAATCAAATACTTCATCTGTTGTTTCTGGTCCACCCATATTTAGTAAAAGTATTCCTGTGTTTACTCGATGACTAGAAAATTTTTTTTTTTCATTATTTTTAATGATTATAAGAATATCAAAAATCCTACCCTTGAGATTCATTACGTGTTTGATTATCTTGTTTAATTGTCGAGTTTACTGAGACAGTAGTAGTTGTACGAATAGTAGTATTTAATAAATAAGAAGTTAATAATTCTATTTTAAAGAAAAATTTCAAAATTCCTTTATAATGATTTATCTCAGCATACTTGATGACAATGGGACTTTTAAATATGATAATAACATTATTTCAGATATCAAAATCAATCTAAAAGAAATGTTTATCGAATAATATGCATATCAACAATGAATAATCAAAGTTTTATGCTAATAAAAAAAAATCTTGAATAATTAGCACCTATAACAAGACAACTGAAGTTGATCGAATAGGTTACAGCACAAAAGCAATATTTTCCTACCTGCTTTAGAATTCTTTGTCAATAATACAACAATTAAAATTGATCACAATTTACATTGAATTATAACTTTTAGTTCTTTACTATCATGAATAATCGTTTCTGATATAAATTAGCATGAAATATATC